CAAATTAATAAAATATATTCCCTATTCTGCATAGATGCACAACTGAGCACGCCGATGTCATTTATCAAAGCTCATTTCGCCTACCATTCCAAGTTGCACCTCAGCACGTCAATGAAGCATGGTGCCCATAAATTAATAAAATATATTCCCTATTCTGCATAGAATTGTAGTTCGAAAGCAGCTAATCTCCGACTGTAGTGGTGTACTTCTTTGCGGTGCCCGTGTGAACGCAAGTGGCGACGAATTGATGAATCGTCCCGTATTTCATCATGGACGTTTAAAATCCCTTGTTTCCGGGCAGCAGGCGGAAGGCACTGTAGTGAGCGATGCCACCGTTCCCTTGCGGGTACCACGGCAACTCTCGTCTCCTCCTTCATCCAGGAGATGGCGAGACGAGAGCGAATCTCCGATTTTCCGTGAAACTTGCCTCCCCTACCTTTCGTGAGGCCGGTTTGCAAATTTCATTTCGAAAAGGCACATCCTCGGACGATAAGGAAGAGTTCTGTCGAAACCCCCAAGTTCAAATCTTGAAGCGTTTGGCCCTGTGCGAAGCAACCGAAGTCCTCCAGTTTGAATTATGAATAATTGAACCCATTTTGACCAATTTCACCAAATTTTTCAGTCATGAGTCAACGAAGATTATGGGCCGTTTAAAAATTTTTTTTTCTCAAAAAATCCGAAAGTAAATGGTATAGTGCTACATTAAGAGGGGCTGCAATTGGGAAGAAGGAATCGCCAATGTCTTCATGCAATATTCCTACAAAGTCATAAATTGAACAAAGATGACAGACAACGATGAAGGTCTTCATATCCAGAGAAGCCCAAAAGACGCGAGACAAGAAGAAACGGGGCTGAATCGATCGCTCCTAGTCTCGCAGGTGGCACCTCGCACGTAGGAGGATAAGAGGCCTGAACTTCCAAAAGAGGAAGTCGAGGCTCTAAAGAAGCAAACGCCACGTGTATCATGCTGACGCGCTTGTAATCTCCGTCTTCGGTATTAAATGTCGAGGGAAAAACGAAATTAAAAAAAAAAATTTTCCCTAAAAATAAACACATTAAAAATCGCTTCAAAATTTCGACACGGGAGTGAAGGAACAAGTCTGGAATTTCATTATGCATTTTACAATGTGCTTGCCAACTACTCTTTTCCAAATATAGTTAATGCCATAGATCCTTCCTTTCGGGCTGAAGTGATTTCTGCCACGTATTGGGACCGTGCCGGAAAGCAGAGAGCTCCGAGAGCATGCCATTTTACAACATTATATGTATTTTTCAATTCTGTATTATGCTACCATATTCACGTTATGTAGTCTATTCTTTATATTTCGATGCATGTTATTCTCGAGATACGCAGGTCTCAGGGACTAAACCATGGCAAATACGGAAGGGCTGACACCCTGGTCCCATCTACTTTTGGCCTCTTTTTTAACACTTTTTAAATACTCCTATTCCTTGCAAATTTTAACCTGATCAACCTGGCCTAGAAGTCACCAGAAGGCAATTTACTTTTGTACTGGTTAATGCACTCGCCAAACACAATACAAGAGGTCGAACAAAGAGCACTGTTGGATAGTGTACCGTCTTCGTTACAGTCGTTCTAGTTCCTTGTTTAACTTAGTTTTAATATTAATACGCACTTCTCCATGCATCATGTGCCGACGAGGGTACCGATTACAAGGGTTGACGCAATAATAGGAGTTTATAATTGGCAATTATTGTGTCCATTACGCACAGCAATACACGCAACATGAATCTTTCAGCCAGGGGTTTATACTCCTACATGGATAAGCCGATAAGAACCTCTTTGCACGCTTGATGTCCTAGCTCTCCTTTCCTAGCGACCAATCCCTTGAAGACATCGACCAGGCAATGGGAGATGTCAAGTCGGATACACTCCATCTTATATGAAGATAACTCGACTCATGCAAATTTCAATCATTTTTTGGCGCGGTCGTGGAGTTACTGAGGTCATTCAGAAAAGCAGTCAATATGTCTGTCGTTGAAGGATCATGAGATCCTTTAATGCCCGTTGAACGTTCATTGACCCGTTAAAGGGCCGTTCTTTCATTTCTCTACATGACGCTCAATGAGAAGGTGCAGAATATGAAATTTCTTGTTGCATGGCAGACATGCCACAAAAAAATGCCAACGTATGCACTTCTTACAATGCTTTCCATTGATTTTCGAACCTACGCTTTGTTTCGAACTCCATTAAAAATTATTCGCACGCTTTGCATAATGTATCGCACTCCCTCCTAAAGCCCAGCAAGCAAGTTCATGGCCTGTCGATGATGGATGGATTCGAGCGTCTATGTCCACGGAATAAACTTATGTACTCCATGGAAATACCACGAAGTAAATGGAAAAAGAGTTTCACACTCAGGAATTCTTATTGATGGAATAGCATGCATGAGGGTTGTCCAAAAAGTTATAAGTACTGATTTTTAAAATGAGTTACACTCGATGAATTTTTATTACATTTTGGTGAACACAGGTTATATCAAATAGTATTCACTGTGCAAAGTTTGGTATACATTTAGCCACATTTATACTCGCTGCCAGATATTGCATTCAGTCACTATGAACGCCTCCGAGGTGCAGGAATCATTCTCGAAACATGACATTCGAGTCATCAAGTTTCGTGTTCTGCTCAACAGCACAATGACAGAAATCCATCAACTGATGTCAATGGCTTTGGGCCAACATTGTTCAGCTTACGAGACTATCCGGAAGTGGTCAAAGCTCATCCTGGAGGGGAAAACGGACCTTGAAGATGAGCCACGAAGTGGGCAACCAGTTTCTGCTTCAACACCAGCAAAAGTCCAGCAAGTCGCCGACCTCCTTCAATAAGACCGCCGAATCACCACCAGACGGATAGGATATAAGCTGGACATCTCACCCGATACCGCTCATCGCATCGTCACTGAAGAATTGAGCGAGAAGGTCGCTGCAAATTGGGTGCCTCGTCTCCTGACAGAATCAGCGGCAATGGCGGATAACCAACTCTTCAAATCATCTCGCCAGATTTCTCAGGGAAGGTGATGCTTTCCTCCAAGAAATAATTCAGCGGTCTGTGATGAAACCTGGGGAAACTCTTGGGAACCAGAACTGAAGAGACAGAGCTGGGAATGAGGACATCCCATATAAAACGTTACCCCCTCGCTCGTCCGAATTTCGCCGCTTTTTCCCCTAATCTTTACCTGAAGGTTCTTCTGACAGGCTGAGAGACAGGGGAAAAACCTTTTTTTTTTAACCTTAGTTTCACCGACTCAATTTTATTTCATGAAATATTTTTTTGTAAGGGATGAAACATCATTATGACTTGAATGTCATGTGGCGAGAATGATTCTTGGAGGCGTTCATAGTGACTGCATGCCATATCCGGCAGCGGGTGCAAAGGTGGCTGAAATTATACTAAACTTCGCATAGTGAATACTATGAGATATAAGCAGTATTCACCGAAATTCCCTAAAGATTCATCGAATATAAATCTTTTTAAAAATCAATACTGAGAACTTTCGGACAACCCTTGCAAAGATATGATGTGCGTCAAACATGTTCTTCCTTCGCGTGGGCGCCGTGACGACCAAGAGCGAAACTGACAAGTGCCTTATGATGGTTTGTAACTCAGCCGTTTCTTGAAACACCCCGGACGTGGTTCCCGTCAGGGTTGCCAGGTGATCTTGCCATTTTGAGCGACAAAGGAGGAGTGAAGAAGAACATGAGGTACGAAAGATTATGCAACGCGTGCGATTCATTTTGAGGGTGGTGCGGAGTATTTTGCTGTTGGTGCCTTGCCTTCTGGAAGACGTGCAACACTCACAGAGAAATAATGTACTAAATTCCACCTTCTTTTTTTCTTCTTTTAGAGAACCTGTTAGAATGAGATCGGGCGTGCGATGATCCTGATGCTTTATGACCTGGTGATATTCATGCTGAAAATCATTTGATGTCATTATCAATATTTATTGATATAACGCCATCTCTAAGATGCGAGCGCCGAAGGCGCGAGAATCGCTAAACCCAAGGAGTTTGACTGCATCATTAGAGTGAGAATAAAAAAAAGTTCTTAATGCATCAGCAACTTTCTTTTATCATACAGCGCAGAAGGCGCGAACTTAACGAGCTTGCTTGGCTTTCCAGCAAACAAACTCTCTAATAAAAGCTGAGGGCGACGTTACAGATTGGTTAACAATAAGAACGTATTTATTGAGAGCATTGTACATCTGAAGCAATTGACAAATACAAGAAAGTTTTATAAAATGAAGAATCACTCCTTCCATTCAATGGCGTTTCAGCTGATGAATTCGATAACTTTTTTCAAAAGTTGCAGTCAACGGCGCACGGTAAATAACGTCAGCTGGGTTAAGATTGCCAAGGTAACTGAAAGGGTAAAGGCTCTCTTTCTGGAGATATTCGGCGACAACAGATTGATGTCAGAAGCTGGAATTTGTTCAATGGATAGCAGTTTTCCTGATAGTTTTCCTGAATTTACCCAATTGCAGGGGGTTTGGTTTTGCTTCTCGTAATGGGGATTCAAAGTTAAGTGTACAGTTTACGGGTGACCCTTATGTTGCGAGTGTTTCAGAGTTGTACTTGTAAAAATGTCTGCTTTCTGAAATGAAGATAAGGCTTTGATGGGAGTTATCTTGAGATAATGGATATGGTGCACCCGAATTGCTTAAATAAATCCACCAATCATGGGTGGATGAACACCGAACGAGTTATTTTGGTTATTTGAAAATGTTGACCTCCTCGGAAATGCGAATGTGAGATTCGGATTTCATCTATAACGAGCAAATGTACTTTTCGTTCATGCATGTTTCTTCTACGGGATATCTGAAATTTTACATTCTTTAAAGCCACAATTACACAAAAAAGACATTTTTTGGTATGATGGCCTATGGAAACTCGTGCTAGCGGTCATGAATATGCAGTCAAACGTGAAAAAATGAATTGGCAGAGAAAGCAAGCGAAAGCAGTCCCTCGTTTCTTCGAATTCAATTGGTATTGATGGCCCATGCGACGGGTTTCGGGTATCTCTTCCGAGCATTCCGACGCGGCACACCAATCTTGGGCCCTGGATCTGGTTTCTGACTTGTATTGAAGTGCCGGTTGATGATTCTTTGCATCATGAGCGGAAAAATTTCAAGGATTTCCAGGCACATGACCAAAGACATTCCCAAGTACAGGCTCAAGACTCCACCCAGACTGCTTATCAGAGTCAAAGTCTGATGGTTTGAAAGAGCGAAACTCAAATTAACTTCTTCATGGTCCAAAATGGTCTGTAATGGCGAAGGATGATGTAACTTACGCTGAAAGTTGGCAATTCAGTAATCATGTCCTTAGTGATCGACGAAAAGGAGATGTGCAAAGCGAGCACCTCATCCTTTAGCTCGTCGTATCCTTGCGCTTCCGACGGTGCCATCGGAGCAAACAGTGAATTCTGCGGAGTAGTAAAGTAACGTTTCATTCCAACCTGGATTTCAGTGACGATGAGCATCGTGACCGTGAAAAAGGTGGTACTCGCCACATAAGTTCTGCTTGGCCAATCCGAAGAGGATACAGTCTTCTTATATTCAATTTCCCTGTTAAGGGGAGAGAAATGAACTGATTTCACATTGTCAGCAGTTGTATAAAAGTTATAAATAATCAATAAATGTACTTATTAATTTTCTAAAAGGTTATGAAGTATTGATCATGGATCATACCTTCCGCATTTGCCTTCCTCGGTTGTCACATCTAATATACGAGACGGTCGTGAGTGACTGACGCTAATTATAACCATGTCTTAGAGAAGTTAGAAATCCGAAACTTGGTACACAAGTAGCTATTGGAATGTAGAGTTAAGGAAAAAATCCAACTTTGGAGGTACATGCCCTGGGAAAATTTTTCAGGGGGGGCTGATTTTGCAGGCCTAGGCCTAACCCATAGATGGACGCTTAGGCCAATACCATTCTTATGAACTCTCTTCTTCAAAGGAAGCGGGATGGAAACAAAAGCTGTACAGTAGTATCTGTAATATGCGAGCTGTTGGCTCGCATACTTCAGATAACAGTTCGACATTGGAGGTACGTGCCCTGAAGGGACTGATTCAGCAGGTCCATATCTAACCCTTGCATGGACGCTCAGGCCTCCATCAATCTCGACTCATTGGTTTAGAGGACCTTTTCGGTCCATTTGAACGGAGAAATCGCTGCCTTAGCATGCGACGCGAGGTCTTTGGGCCCTATGCCTTTCTATGTCGTAGGCTAGGTAGAAGGGCTTGGGTTGATGCGTACCGGTATGCTTGTGGATGCGAATTATTTCATATATTTTTGTAGCAGGGAAACGGTAAGGAAGGTTTTCCTTCGAATTTCCGATTTAAAATGGTTATGTCCAATGCAGGACGCTTGGACTAATGCCATTTCTGTGCTCACGCTTCAACGAAACGGGAACGTAAATAGCCATAAACTGCCTTCATTAATGATGCATTTTCTCATGGACAACTGTATGTAGCATTAGGTAGAGTTAGAAAAAGGGATTCCATGAAAGTACTTGTGCTTAAATATAGATATGAAGAAAATGAAGAACTCCCCATACTGTGAACAGAGTCTATTGTTATTGCGGTAATGTTATGTGTAGGTTATTGCGTTAAAAGTGTAGGTTATTGCGTTAAAACTCTCATTTGGCTCATGTGGTTCATGTGGCTGCTATTAATCACGTCTACTTTTTTTGGAGATTGATATTCCATCAAGAGTTTGTCAACCATAATCAAGAATTGAATACACCAATGGAACACTAAACGACGCACTAAGAATTGTTACTTGGTGATACTCGTGCTACAAGTCACATGGCGTTACTAAGAATATGATCTAAGACACCTTTATTTTTAAAGATGTCAGAGCCAAAGGTGTGGGAATTGAACCCATGAGTAAAGGAGTTTGACCGCATTACTAGGAGTGAGCATCGAAAACGGATGCCTTAAACTGAAATTCATTAGTAATTTCCTTAGATCGCAGAGCGCTGATGGCGCGTCCAGTAGGAACAAGGAAACTATGCATTCTTCGTTAAATGATACGATACGGGATAAATACATAGCGTTGTACCTTCGAATCGCAACGTACACATCCTATGTGAATTCGTTGAAGATGCTTGCACTACCGATTGCGATTTAAAAAAAA